CGCACACGTGCGATCGCAGCGTTCAGATCGTATTCGATCTGCCATAGGTGCTTGGCGACAGCCACCACCGCGATGTCGTCCGCGAAGCCGACGATACGAACATCGCCATCAAAGTTGAGACGCAGGATCGCGTCATACATGACGTTCCACAGGATCGGGCCCAAAACTGACCCTTGTGGGACACCTGCTGGTGTAGGGTGTGTGTGTGTGTGTGTGTGTGTGTGTGCCGAGCAGCACATAGATTATTTTGCAAAGTGATATCGTGTTCTCGTACAATATGCGCGGCTTCTCTCCATGTATACTTTTAAAATATATACCCAATTGCGTAAATATATTCTCCTCTTTCGGCGACATCGAGGAACGATGGATAATTTTTGATCGCTGCAATTCGTACAGCAATTCACGAGTTGCACGTCTCCACACGTGTATCTTGCAATCAAACAATCGTCTCCATTTTCGCGAAATACGCGAGACGTCGCGCACATCGGGTTTCTCAAAATAAAAAGTGCCCTTCAGCTCATTCAACGCGTATATGACAATGGATGTGCAGTAATTAAAATTCCCACGTAAAACTGCTATACTTAACAATGGCGCGGCAGATATATTAAAATGTAACTTGGTATTTCTATAGCGATAAAAAAACCATGGCCAGCTTGAAAAAATGCCAAGCATGAGAGAGGCGCGAGAACGCACAGAGGTTATAGCCATACGCGGAGAAGTGAGCCAAAAATTTTACTTACCGAGGCAGCGTAGCGAAGCGAAGGCACATCGCATACAGCCCTTCATGTGTAAATAACTATTTTTTTTTTTCGTCATCGATTTTCCAGATTTGTTGGGTATCAGGCCAAAATTTTAGCGCGAGATTCATTCAACGCGTAATATATAGATTTGAAATTGTTCTAACGTTGCCATAATAGAATTTGCTATTTCTGATCCCTTATGACTAACATTAGGTAAAAGTTTAAAAAATCTCTCTATTGGAGAACCATCGGGTTTTACGTAACGCAGAACAAATGTAAGTTGATTGATATGCGATAGGTCAGGCGTTGAATCGTCAACGGTAATATTTAGAAGATATTACCTCTTCCCGAATATTATTTAATACTTTATCTGCAATTAAATTAATAAACTCATCGTACATTGTCGACGATAAGTAGCTTGTGTATCCTTTATTTGGATTACCGTAACGCGAAATGTGATCAGCTAAAAAGGAATCGTACATAGCCAATTCTAAAGACATCATGTATTTGCCATTTCGGGGATGACCAAATTTTTCTACATGGCCTCTGAATGGAAGACCTCTCGCTGACACAACTTTGACAACACTAACGACTCTCTGCAAAACTTCATGCCAATATTTTATTTTGTTTTCAATTTCTTCAAGCACACTTGCATCGGTACGACTATTGGTAGCTCCTCGTCATTTGAAAGATAACAAATGGTTTCTATGAGAGTCACTGTTTTCATGTTGATAAATTCTTTTAATATTTTTCCAGTTGTCAAAACCTGATTTTGTCCCGAATTGAGTTCCTCCGTTGAACAACTAACAAGGTCCGCAGTACACTTTGCCGCTATTTTCCGAGTATATTAGTCAACTTCTCGATCTTTTTTCGCCGTCGTGTAAGGTTGTTTGAAACAGTGATTTTGAAAATGAACGCGTTTGTGTGCCAAACTGACGCCTGCTGGTTTTAAAGTCACTTTCGATATTTTGTTTGAATCCATTTTTACACGGATATTCTATAGTTTCGTTGTTGATTAGCCAAAAAACTGGATCGTCTCTTATAGAGTCACTGATTAGATATGACTGTTGTTCCCAAACATTTTCTTCTTTGTGAATCAAATTGTTTTCTACACTAATTATACTTTCACAACCAACTTCAGCTTGTACGACACTAAAATCATCATTGCTAGTATTGTTATCACCATTGTCTTGATCTAATGGTTGATTCACATTAAAATATTTGCTTAACTTTGAGGTTTTTGACATAACTTTTTCATGTTTACTTTTTTTCTTTTTAGCTAACTTTTTATATTCGTTACTATTTAATTTTTTTCTGTTATTTATGTCACTTCGCCTGCAGCAAATAAGTAAAATAATACTTTATATCAAGCTTTGTTAATACAAGAGATGCTTCGGAAAATAATCTTTCTAGCGGTACATAAGTTACAGGGATGCACAGTATGTCTCTGGCCATTCGTGCTACTATAGAGTGTACTACACAGTGTAACTTCCACCATAGTGAAATATCTGCATCTGGTTCGGGCCTAGAAGAATCCAAGTATTTTTGTGCTTCACTAATCCATACGACCGTCTGTTCAGGTTTGACGTAGAGGGCATTGAAATCCATTTTATCGTCGTCGCTTGTTCGGCGTTTCTTGAATGCGGCTCATCTGCAGAGTCTTCGTTGGCATGGTACTTCTTAAAAACTGTCATAAATTTTTGTTTTGTCTCGCCTGACATTTCTTTAGCCCAGGCGGCTGTTCCTTCTTCCAAGCCAATGATTTTTACTCGTGGATCTAGTACTAGTGATACACAGTAGATCCAGATACACTTAATATAATGCTTGATTAACTTGCGTTTACCCATTTCGAAAAATTCTATCAATTTTCGATCGACTTCATTCAGCTCATATGCGTTATCCAATTCGAATGCTTTCTTCTCCAAACTATCAAACAAACAGTTGAGTGCAATAACTGCGCTAGGTAAAGTTATATACTTTTCTCCGCTGATTTTATCAGAAACTGCCCGCGTAAAGAAAGTCCATTGGCAAAGCTTTGTCAAAGTTTGGACGTGGCCAAAGTTGGCCAAACTTCAGAAATGAGAATCGCAGGATATACTTAGTATTTCCTTATATATTTTCTATTACTATATAGTTGTAAGGATCTCCACACCTGATTGCCATAGCTCCCCCACATTTACCACAATTTTTAAAAGGCCCTATTTTTACGTGTTTTTTGTTCATTTTTCACGTGATTTTGGTACTTTTTTACTACTGCTCCCCATGGCTCCCCATTTTGAAAATTGCTCCCCACTGCTCCCCCACCGCTCCCCCACGTGGGGGAGCTATTATATAATGATTTGTTATCGTAATTTTTCACGGTATTTTCTGGGTTCCCCTCCTTCAGGCTCCCATCCTCCAACCTCCCCTGCTCTGATATGTGATTGTTAATAACATTGACAAATTTCTAATAAAAATTGGAATTCGTTTAAAAGTATTCATCATCAACAGAATTTCAACATACATGCAACCGACTTATATCGAAATACAGCATTAAATGTAGTATTACAACATACATAAAAGAACACAACAAAAGTTGTAAATTTATTGTTAGGAAAAGGTGCTGATCCTAACAGTTTAAACAATCAAGGATATACTTCGTTGCATCTCATTTGCAAACGGAACTATTACATATAAGGGGATACTTTAATACTGAAAATGTATTTTATTATTTTTTTAAGCTCATTTTAGATGCGAAACAATTAGAAAAAAAGCCCTTACTCGAACTTAATTTAAGGTTAAATGAGAGTTTTATTTGCGTCTGTAACGCCCTTAAAATGCCTTGAAAAAAATTACAAAATACATGTTTCAATGTAAAATTTTCTACTCTTTTCAAATCTGCAATAAAAAATGAGGGTATCCATTTGAAAAATCGTTTTTTGGGTCGCTGAGGCTTCAAGGTTACGTCTAAGGTCAAATTCAAGGTCACCATTGGATTCCACGTGCAAAAATACGTTGGATATAGGGTCTTTGATTTTATTTTACCGAATATTTTGCGATATTTCCAGGGGTTTTTATACTTTTGTCGCACTCTGTATAATAATGAATACAGAATTTAATCTCAATAAACTCAATAAATTTAAAATTTGAATATTCAACTTTGAGCCCCTATAAATCCATGAGGGATGGAGCTAGAGGGCTAAGATTTTTCGGATTTTCATTTTCCAATGTAATCTTTAAGAGTACTTAGTTAGTTGAAACTCGATTTTTTGAGCTATCAACTCTTTTTGATATGACCCATATACATAAGACAAAACTATCACATTACCAACATCTAAATATGGCCTTTTGAAAATATTTTTTTTGGTAGATTTTGGATTAAATGTCCATTTTTGTGGTAAATAGGGACTAAAAATATTAAGAGCAGAAATCCTTAAACTATAAAATTAATAAAGACAAACCCTTTTCCTCATTAAAAAATAAAATGTATATCCCCCTAACGGGGGGGTTGGCGAGCGGAGCGAGCAGGGGGGCGCAGCCCCCCTAGTACTTATATATTTACTTATAATATCCTGCGATTCTCATTTCTGAAGTTTGGCCAACTTTGGCTAATTTAAGGGACTGGAAAGGGACTTGAGGGGACAAACCGTAGTTTCATGAGCCGTAAATGCAAAGTTTAAATTTAAATATTATCGCAAATTATGAAGGCATACAATCTGCAAAAATGAACATTCATACGAGATGGCACGGAAAAAGCAGGTATAAGAAATATAGGTTAGAGTCCAAGTATTAAAGAAAATATTATTAGATATTAATTTTAAAAAAACGCATAGCATGAACAAAGCAACTCGAAAAAGGGGTATAAATGTGAAGCAGTTCAAAATGAATGTGAGCAAAATTTTTCATTATTTTTAGTAAGATGATACAAAAGCGATGTAAAAGCCATCTCATCTATTTGATTAATGTGAAACAGTACTCGTATCAGTCATATAAACATTTAACAAAAATTCACGGTCAATTTCTCGCGTTATTTATCTCGTAGAACCTACGTGTCCTTTATGTGATTTTTTCTACACCAAACCACCACCATATATGACGTATTCCACCAGACAATACGCTTGCGCGGGGCATTTTTTAATGTATCGCAACATTTCTAACTCGCTGTGGCCGACACAATTTGGTCTGAAAAAATATTGCGCACATGTATTCTACTATTCTATCTATATCTATTCTATTCTATTCTATTATTCTATTTCTATTTCTATACTTATAAAAAAAGAGATGGACCTCAAAGTGAAGCATCGAAAAACGACGTCTGATTGGCTGACACTGACGACGACACCCGACGTGAGCCAACTCGATACGAGCGCCTGCGTTGCTAACTGTCTTAACTTTGACGCGCGCGAAGCGCGTTTGAAACTAACTATTTCTGAACTATTTCTGAATCTTTAACTAACCTCAAAACACGACTAAAAAAATTGACGCGCGCGAAGCGCGTTCGAAACTTATTACTATTTGTTAATCTTAAATTAACCTCAAAACCCGAATAAAAAGTTGATACGCGCGAAGAGCGTTTAAAACATCTAGTTGTACAAAAGAACGAGATATTTGACGTATTAATTTCGATGTCCACTATGACGTGATAAAATCGAAAGATATCTCCCCATCGAATAATTGAGTTTCCGAAAACAAAAATACAAAATTTTATACGCATCCCTGTTTAATTTATTCATTGAGTGATCTATTTTGTACGAATACTTGAACGCCTTACGGTTTAGTTTTTATGTTCAATGATCTATCATTTACGCAAAAAATAGTTAAATTTTATTTTATATAAGTATTTAAAATTATTTCTTGCGCTAAGTATTTTCTCGTTATAGGTTTTTGCATAACAAATATGTGTGTTTCCAAATTCATGACACCAGCAGACGTCTTTAACCTGCTTGAATGAAGTACAATCGATTGAAGCAATAGAAGTGCGCACGCGAGATGCATATTTTCAATATTGCAGTCAATATAACTGAGATTAGCTCAACTATAATTCAAATGACATTCAGAACCTTATATTTGTTTTTTCGTTGTATTGATGTCTTAGGTTTAAAGTTTTGTAATCGTTATGAAAAATATCTTGTGATATGAATTGCAAAAGAGCTGAATACAACAATTCGTTTAATCTAGCTTTTTTTATCAGCACATGCTTTTTGAGCTGTTCAGTTACCGTTTTGCAACTTGAACATGAAATCTCAAATTCACATTTTTTTAGCCTTAGCTCCCCAGTGCTTTACGAGCAAATTACTTCGCATATGAAGGCTTCGAATACGTTAATAAAACACAATCCATTGCATATAAGTCACGGCCCTTTAAAAAATGATCATCCGATAAAATCATTTGATGAAAAGTTATATTTTGGTCTTTTAATGAACATATTCTGATATTGGCCCATTCAAAGGATACCAACAAGTCAAATTTTTGACTTTTATACTATATTTTATTTTTAAAGGGTTTTTAAGGTTATGAGCATAATTTTTGGTAGTTATTTTGAATACTTCATCGAATTTTATGCTAATAGTAATAATTTAAATATGTTTTCAGAGTTACCTCTTAAAAGTAAAAGAATTTAGTAAAATGAAAATCCAACTTTGATCCTCTATAGATCTACCAAGTATGAACCTATAGGACTAATATTTTGAGAATTACTTATTTAAAGTACATACTTAGATTTAATTTAATTTTTTGGCATAAAACGCGTGATGTGGGTTTGCCCATAAATATATACTTTTTTCCAGTATTTGCTGTTCCAAAACAAAAGAAGAATAAGAACATTTTTTCATAACTCTAACCTAAAATACTCAACTTTGCCGCAAATTTTAGACGTTTGTAGTAAAAAATAGTATCATACACTAGTGAAGATATGGTTTTTTAATAAAACTTTTTACGTTACGATATCTCGATTTGCTAAAAAGCCATAAATACCCATTGAGAAATATACTATTAATAGTTCCGGCAATGTCAACGAAGCGCAAATAGTAATAAGTTCAGCCACATTTAAAAGAAAATGCGAATATTCGCCTTTGGAAACAAGAAATACCTATTGAAATTTCTACTGTTCAAGCATTTTTCCATGTTTATGAGACCTCAATAAATATATAATCGTGAACATTAAAAACTGATTTGAAGACTTCACTCATTCACGCGATTTTTATGTGAAACTTTGAGTTGTATATCATATCTCAATCAAAACAAGAAAAATCATAAAAACTGCTATAAGTTATGTTTTTGAGTAATTTATTTTTAGTTTAATAAGAAATTAAATCAAATTTATATTATCTATTTGTAATAGACCATAACTTCTAACATTAGCCGCAAATTTTGTAACAAACTTGATATGGCGTAATTGCACTTAGTCAGAAATTTTACGCTGGTGGAAAATTATGCAAATCATGTCGCGTCTCATCTGTAAATTATCGATAAAGAATGTTTATATATTTTCGCTTTCCATAAGAAAGAACCAACAATAGAACGATGTTACAGATAACAATAGAATATCAATAAGATAAGTTATATATTTACGTTTACGTACACATACCCCAGATCCCCAGCATGTACACCAACGCAACCTTCCAACTTTCACATTTGCTTACATATGTGTGAATGCATTGGATAAATTTATGAATTATATTCTTTAGCTGCACACATATGACTGATAAATGTGAGCAAGCAAAGTGGCAAGTGCTTCTAGTTTTCTCTATTTTCACCCTGCTCCGGTTACGAATTTATATGTATAGCGCACAAATTACGTTCTCACATTTATCTTGCACTTTGCTTTACTTTACTCGCACAGCCTGATCTCTGTGCGTATGTATATGAGTCCACACCTCGATTCCATATCTTCAACAACGCTGGCTATTGTTATTTGTGAATTTGCTGAAAATTTATCGTTTTTCTTAATACTTGTATTTTTTGAGGGAACCTTTGGAGATATTTTTAGGCGTTTTTCTGGTACACCACACGCTTCAAAAACTGTTGCCCAGCTTTTCAGCTATACGACCAGCAGCTCGATGGATAATTAGGCTTTACAACATCGTAATATGATTTTTCTTTTAAAATATGTATGACTTGGAGATTTCACAAAGACTTACGTATCTATGGCGTGTCATTTATATTAAAATCCATCAGTTTAAAAGTAGTATTTCTCTATGACTCTGTATACATCTGCAAAACATGCTTCCCCGTTGTTCATGTCAATTGTAACACAATGTAATACCCTTACTGCCCAGCTTAAAATTTAAAATAAACTGTGAATGAGATTTTAGCTGCTACACGTAAGATATGTAACGCTCGTGAGATGCAAATAACACGATATTCAGGCAGATTTGAATAGTGCTTCTTTTTTTGACACCCAATTATACTGAACCATTTTTCGGTTAATTATGCTCCTATAATTTATATTTATATGAAAAAAATTTATATTTATATGAAAAAAATTTATTTTTTTTGTAAAAAATTTAAAAATGTTACCTACACGATGCGCTCATTGAACGACACATATATAGCCTGAAATGGTAAAATTAATCTTTCTGCAAGGGTTCACAAGAGTTATCATATTGGTTGAGACGGTGAGCGTCGTCAAAAATGATAGTCGTTACAAACATGCCGCGCGTAATAAGTTGAAAGTTGTACTTGGTGTTGCGAGCACGTTACGTGTATGCCTAAGCTCAAAAGATGCATATAGATATCCATTTACATTTTCAGTGCAGGTTTTCCCTAATTGGGCAAACGCGTGATAGAAATCGGCGCGTATGTGTACGTGAAAACAGCGCACATACAACGCGTTACCTAAGCCTTCGTGTATGTACCTACACACCGTGTATATATGCATTTAGCTTGCGCTGCATGTACATCGACACTTGAGTTACACATTCAGCAGTACTATGTAAAGGTGCCATTTTTAGCGCATGTGGCATTGCAAGCTCCCAAGCATTTCCCTCTCTCTCTTCGTTTCTCTTTTTCATATTTTGAGTTTGTGCTGCGGTACACATTTGAGATACATACAAATGCGAACTTTCTTACGAGGTGTGTAAGGATAAATGCTCAGTTAACACGAAACAAATGAAAAAAAAGCAAATGATCTTAGTAATGGTGAAAGAAGAGATTACAAAAACCACTAAGAATATGCTAAGCAATTAAGTAGTATTTGTATATAAAACTGCTTCCACTGCGTATTTAATTGATGCTTTTGTTTCATGTCCCATTCAGTAATTTAATTTTTTTTTATTAATCTTTTTGAAAACAGCATGCAGGTAAAATAAACAAATTGTATTGGTTAAAAATTATTTTTCTTGTTTTATACAGCTAGAATAAAAAGTTTATTCTTGATAGATAGAGCACAATAAAATTGAAAACCTTGAGATAAATAAACAGCTACGCAGCGTGAAAGTGATGAGGTTAAAAAATGATTCTTAAAAGATCACGTATAAACTCATGTATTAATTAATTATCGTTAAAAAATAACATAAAATGAATGAATTTTTCAATGTTAATAAATCATGCTATTATTATGTTCTATAATATTTACATATGCATATTGTTTCGCGTTCCAGGTATCTTTTTGAATCAATGGTTGAACATTTTATTCATCTTTTTCTTCTTATTCTTCTATTACTTTATAAGTAAGTATGTTAAACATTAATCAATCGTTTATCATTATTGAGTGTACATTCTTATAGTACCCGTATAGAATTTATCATTTTGCTTCTGTTACAAATAATTCTAGCTCATAAACATGAACTTTGAATAATTTCACTGAGTAAAGTTTTATCCAATGCTATTGAACAAATTCAATTGACGAAAACTAAATTCGTTAGTTATCGCTAATACAATCAAAGTCACGTTATACTTCGAACCACTGGAATTATCGAACATTTTTGCTTCATAAAAATACATACTCACACACGCCCATGTTCTCGTACATGCGTTTGGAGTGTCATGTGTCTGTATAATTTGAAGAAAAACATTTCGCTGAAATAGAAAGAAGATTAAAATCGATAAGCCTGCTGAATTGTGGCTACGACGTTGTGCCCCTTTTTTCCAATATCTAAATATATAAGAGTGCCCGTAAGGTTTTCTCTTTTAACTTTTGCTACACAATAAAACAGCTCATTACATGGGAAAAACGTGTCTAATCTCACTCTTTATACTCTGCTGAATATTTATTATAATACCAAGTAACTCCCTCAATTGGCCAAGTAACTTCCTCAACTGATATAAAAAGCTCTTCTGTCATTAATAGAAGCTTAATAGAAGGAGTACAGTGTAGCAGTGGTTTTTTAAAATTGAAATTTATTTAT